GTACGATATTGTTTTCAAGTAAGTGACTATTCCTTTGTCTTTTTGAGAAGTAATTCTTTTAACCCTGTTATAAGCACCTTACTACAAAATACGTAGTACAAAATGATATAAAATGTGATTGACTAGTAGTCACGTTTTGTTATGAATATTTACAATATGTATAACGCAATTTCTAATATTATATTGCCAGTTACTAAAGTCATCATAATTGGCTTTATTAACGAATCCGTGGCTAATGCTGGATTGGTGAAGTTTCCAGATATACTATTAACTACGAGTATATGTAAGTTCAAATCTCGTGATGCACTGTGCACTAAACGAATTTCGATTCAATAATTGTGAAACAGATAAGTAGTTTCCGCTTCCGGCGATAGATGACTCTGTATTTAAAATACATCTGAAATTGATTTTATTGCTCTAATTTGGTAAAAATAAGAGCGGAAACGTGTTTTTCTTTGATAATGACATGCTACAGTTGCCGTAAAATATAATAAATAAAGGTTAATGTTTTCTTTCTGAAATAGCTTTATTTATAGCATAATTATTGGACCAAGTCATGGAGGAATTCATTGTAAAAGTCGCTGTTTAGGCAACTCCTCGCTGAGGACACACTAGTCGCAGTCGGGGTATGTTGAAGCTGGATTTTGTTATCAATAACCCGCACAAATTGGTGAGTCAACTTGAATTAAGTTTTAACGGTTTTAAACTCAATTTAGGGAGTAGAAATACCGATTTATGAAATATTGAACCAAAATCGCACTATCGACTTATTAAAACGACTTTAGCACACCGCCTAAAAGTGTGTTTAAAATCAGAGAGATCTTGTTGACATATAATTTTACTTTTAAATGGCATTCCATTTGGATTATTATGAGCTGAAAAAAAACGATTGTGGAATAAAATGCTATCGCTTTGTTCTACTAACTTAACTATTTTCATACATAATATCTACTGTTTGATTGTAAATAACATTAGAGAATAAAAGGCAATGACAAGTTCATTTGCTGACCTGTGAAAAGAAGGGACAAAGAGTTTGTCTCTTTATGTTTATTTATGTTACGCTTATATTGAAAAAGTCTTTTACTATGTTCAGAGTAGTCATTAGCAATTCATTGTTACATATAGGTTGAACATCTGATAAATTGAAAATTGATAGTGGCATTTAAATATTGTCCATCAAGTTAAATATAAAGTTCAACATAATTAAATACCGTCAGTGACTCTGTGTTGTGGGTTGAAAGATCTCAAATAAGCTGGGAAATAAATTTGGTAATTAAACATAAAAAAGGTATAAGTCTTGACTTTTGAAACCTTCATTCAATAGAAAATATAACATCTTTGAAGGAGAAGAAACATTAAATTGTTAACATAGTAAGTTAGTCATTTTCAGGTTATGTATTAGAAAAAGAAAATTATCATTGACTACTCCATAATATAGGGACAGAACATTCTTATTGATGCGTGGGTGGCTTCATCTGTCTGTCTGTCTATCTGACCTTCTTTCAAGAGGGAACTGCTGGGCCAATTTGGATGAGGTTTGGTACATTGATGGACAGGAGCCTGGGACCATTGTCATGGACTGATTTTGATGTATTGGAATATGTGAATTTTATGCGAGTATTTTGTGGGTTTAATATGTTTCAGTATAAAACTTAGTAATATTAAGTGATTAGCCTAAGTGATTGAAATGCTATCCAAGTCAGTATTTCGTGCGAGCGAAGTCGCGGGCACAGTTACATCAGTTACAGCTTTTGGTGTTCCAACCAACTAGTACTGTGTCTACAGTGCATAACATTCATAGTAGAGAGTAAAATTTTATTGTTACTACTAACGTAAATTATCACGTCTAGGATACATTCAAACTGTTAAGTACTTTTAAGTACTGTTAATTATTAAACATATCTTTTTAGCAAAATATTTGGCTTCGACATTAATAATTTACACAAAGATAACAAAGTAAGCGTCAATTAAAATCCTGCTTCCCATACGGTAGAGACAGGTATTGATGGCGATATTGAAGTTCGGAATATTTTAACGTGACAAATGCCAAGACGAAAATAAGTTTATTTAAAATGAATTGAGGGACACTGGCGCGTTCTAAATAACAAATGGAAGGAAGTAGAGCATATAGAAGGAAGAAATAATGGAAACTTGGAAGATAAGTATAGGATGGTAACAAATATCTATGCAGTTGTTGTGAAAATAATTATTAAGTGAATTTATAGAAAAATGTTATTGAATCTAAGTTTATTAAACTTACAAAATGGATATACATGTAGAAGTGTAGAGAAACTTAGAAAATCGAATTTTATGTATACTTGTATTCTATTAATTGATAGTTTTAGAATACAAGTACCTATACTTAGCAGGATTAAATATATTAAAAAAAGGAAGGGATGTAGTGTATGCATAAACGTGGTGTTGTTTGTCTCGAGCGTACACGCCATAAGTACATGCCGGAGAGAGGGGACGTCAGTCGATGTCAGACCTTTGAGCCGGCAACACGTGTCGGTACGTGAACGAGCCAAATATAGCACAACGAATGCTACACGGGGGTAGTATAGCTTTCCAACAGTTAAATTCAATTAATAATAAATTGTTTTTATCAAACACGTTTATTTCTTTATTTCAGAAAAATATTCGTATTCTATTTATTTTTGTTATTATTTAACCAGCTGGGAAACATAAAAACAACGTCACTATATATTTTTCTACTTAAATAACACGCATAAAGATTATATACTTTTTAAAGAAACTTTACAAAGTGTGTTAACACTTTTAATACATACAAATGTACATAATACATATATTGTTGGTCAGGTTTTAGCTTCAATTCAAACTGGATTATGTTCAAGGTGAATAAAGAGCATTGATATTATAAAAATCCTAAAGATCAAATCAAATAAGCACTCAAACCGGTACTTATCACTTTATCTGGTGAAATTTATTTTCCCAAAATATAATACAAAATTTAAAAAAAAATAGGGAAATAAAAATATACAATCGTCGCCGTAATCGTGAGGACTTCGCAAATTGGAAATTTTTCTTTTCTGCCTACAAACGTTTTTTTGTTTCGTAAAGATATGTAACTCAAGTGATCGCAACAGGAATGGCGTCTCGAAGTCGTGGGCGTTTGGCGAGAAATGGCACATTTACACTGGATTTCTAAGACCAAAATATCTGTATAAAATACATCGTGCTCGTTATTATATTGGCAACGGAGATAACGATATCTTTTAAACGGGGGTTTTGTTCTCAGAAACTCATGGTTAATGATTGAAAAATAATTGTACTTTTCAGACATAGATTTTATAACTTAACACAATTTGTGCAACAAAAATAAAGTTGCATCTTCATTACTAATACATTTACGATAAATATTATAAGAAAATATTTCTAACATATTAATGGAATAAAAATACAAGGATTTTCTATTCAGTTATAATATTTTGGCTACTAGTAACGGATTTAGAAAACCAAAAGGCTCTAATAAATCCATTTTCTTCTTCTTCATGTCAGCCATGAGTCGCCCACTGCGGGATATAGGCCTCCCCCAGAGATCGTCACGATGACCGGTCCCGCAACCTTGACCAGGTCATTGCGGGAGGCCTGTCCACGCTGAATAAACCTCTAAATCTAAATATTAAAGCCATTTACATAACTACGTAAAAAGAAACCTGCAAAAATTAAACTATCGTATAAAGTGTTTTAAAATGCTATTTAAAACATTTTTAATATATTATAATATATTAGTGATAGCTTACGCTGTCAAAAACTTTACCCAGACAGTTACATGTTACATGTGACATAATCATGGCTACTTATACAAATGGTATGAGTAGAGAAGTACATAAGTATACTATGAGTACGTGCAGGACATTGTCAACTCACGAAATCGAAAGTCAGACAAAAAAATTCGCTTTCTTTTAACGCTAACAAAGTATTCATTATATTATACTGAGTGGTTATAAAATACAAATATAAAGTTCCATAAGAAGCGTTAATCAAAATATGTAATTCATTGGATATGTTTCAAATGATTTGATATCATAATTTTGCATTTATTGTCAAGGGAAACCAGTGCATTAAAATCAAACCTTAAATTATATTCAATGTTAAAATACACTAGAAAAATTAGTATGTCGTAATATCCTTTACAAGTAAGAGGTGATTGGAACTTAGTTCACCAATCTGGCCCAGTCTAGAACTCCAAATGTCTTTGAATTTCTTCGCAAATATGTGCAGATTGCATCACCGCATGAAAGTTGTATAAATGTCCTTACGAATAATATTTTACGCATGTCCTATTTACCTGATTAATCACTCTTACTTTTAATTCTCATCCAACAAGTTCAGCGAATTTTCGAGGAAAGTGAATAAATTCTTAATAGGCGTAGACAATCAATTAGTTGAAGCATACATTTTGTGTTGCAAATAATTGGTCTACGCATGATTTCTAGTATTTATAATAATTAGTGACATTTGAACCATCAACAATGTCTTGGTTCTGTACAAAAAAATAATGATATTTTATCGCCGCCATTTTGTAATTTTAATAAATTAATGAATTATAAATATGCAACATTTCTTTTTTTTTAATAATTTCACGTAACAATCTATTATTCTTATTATAAAAAAAAGTTTAGAAATTCAGTTTCATAAGAACAAATATGTATACTGTCAAGAAAAGAAAGTAATCTAATATATTAAACATAAAATGTTAAAATTTTACATTTATATAGTCTTCTAATCGTAGAAGCGAGTCATGAAAGGCGATAGTTTTAGTAGGGTTCGGTGTATTGGAAAATTATTGATGTAACCCTAAAACAATTAGCACAACCAAACAAATTAGTAAACCATGTCCGTAACGAAAAGAAGGCCGTGCAAGCGCACCCATACGACAGAAGATAGTCTACGAGTCGAGTCAAAAGAAAGTAGGCGTCATATAAAACGGATTCTTCCCACATGCTCCGGTCAGTGCAACCTTGGCCGCGCGAAAGCGACCACCAGTGGCGGGAAAGTAACGGAAAAAAGGGCGCGAACTTTGACAGCTGTCAAAATGTTACCGAGAAAAAGCTGCGTGATATTATTACTGTTCTTGACGACGGTTCACAGTGCGAGTTTATTTGAGCGTTCGTACGAATATGTATTGAATTTAGGCAAAAATATAGCGCCAAGTGTTATGTCGATTTTTGACTGTTTCGGCGAGGACGAGGCGTGGAATTGTGCTAAGGAAAAGGCGGGCAAGATCCTGGACAACTGGGACGATGAGGTGGACAAACAGAGACGTCAGTGGCAGGGTGAGTTGACGATAAATAACTTTACTTAGTGTTTAGATGTCAATAGGTAACGGTTTCTTTTTTATTCAGATTAAAATAAATTTGGTAACTTTATTAAAATAACAAAATAGTGAAGTTTATTAATAGTAATTAATAATTAGCCGTGCAAGGAAGTTTTTTTATCTGTTATTTTTAAAATTTTTGCTTCATTGAGGTTTTTTGGATAAAATAATAAAACCGTTAACTAGGAATATTAAATTAAAAATGATATGTCACAAAGAGAATCTGTGTAAACGGTTGATGCATGTGCCATATACAGGGTTGTCAACTTTCTATAAATTATTTTTATTAACATTAAAGAACTTTTTTGTATTTTAATTATAATTATTTTATTTAAGTCTATAACTTGCTGAAGTATTTTCAAATTTTGAATTAAGATTTGAAAATTAGCTAGTAAAATCTACTATATTTTTTATCTTTCCTCGTCTCAGAATTGTTGTCGATTAATAGATTGATACTGTAACGAAATGTACATTTGAATCTATAATATTCACACACATATAAATAGACATAATTCTAGATATTTCAATTTTAATAGTTTAAAATATTTCTGCATTCCGCAATAGATTGTGGGAACCCTATTTGAAGTGGCAAAAAGTGTTGCAAGTCGACCGCATCACTTACTGCAAGTGTCCGCGTTATCTCGCCAGAGTGCGCTGCTCGTCTCGCCAAATTAACTGTTCACATCACGCGACATCTCTCTTCTCTACATATCTACTAAATCATCTAAGAATAACTATACTCATGTCTTCACGCGTATTCTCTTATAATTTTTAGCATTACGAAATTATTTTTATGTAAAAAAATCAAAGTAAAACATCACATATGAACAAATTTAATCTCTCTTGGAGTGATTTTCCAAAGAAAATTACGTTAAAAAGTATGCAACGTGTTTTGCTAAAGACGCGGACAATATGTGTACGTTTAAAATTAATAATTTGATTTATTAAGTAGTTAATTCGCTACATACAATGTATGTTACATCTTATATATTATAGTATTTCTTTTGTTCGTTTATGTTTCAGCTTCCGATCTTCATTCGTGCGTTTGACGTGTTAATTATATTTAATTATGTATCTGTATTTAACATTGCAGTCTGTAATTAACGTTTTAATTGTTCTATATACGTTGCACAAGATATAACTTGTTACTATGTGTTTCAATTGCTGAAACATTAATGTAAAATATATTTATCTCTATTTTTACGAAGTAAATGAATGGGATGCATTATTTTTTATTTATTTGACTGTGAAAAGTTTTTTAAATATATATTGGATTTATTAAAACCCGGACACGTAATAATAGTGTTTAAGCAATTATTTAAAAGAAAGCCAGTTGGTTGGTTATCCGAGCAAATGACATGAATTGGGAGAAAGTGAATGAAAATGGTCACCTCCTTAATTGGTAATCGCGCAATATGTTTAAGGAAACACGTTTTTTCGTAAAAGGTCTTGTTATTTACAATAAGTACGTCAATATCACTAAATTTCTGAATCCTTTAAACGTGTTGTAACTTTATTAACGTCCGACCCCTTTAATATTATAATTTCGAACCACTTATGATTACTAAAACGATTAGTTTTACATTAATTACTTTAAATTTAACTGATGTATGGATCGTATACAAAGTAATTAGACTGTTATTCCCTAACATTCACACGTTCACGCTTTCGCTCTGTTGAGTTCATAATTAAATAATCATCAATTTCCCCGCTTAGTCTCTGTATGCATATGTATCTTGTTTTCACATAATATTTTCTCATACAACTTTTGTGAACAATTCAGAATATGTTTTTGACAATTTCTAGATTAGAAAATTAGATATAAATGAGAAATTTTTAAAAAGTTATCTAGACGGAATTTAGGATGCTTGTAGTTTTTTACTGAAACTGGCTTTTATTGCATTAAGTCAAAAACCTCTTCAGCTCAGAAAAGCGTATTTGAATTAAAAAAGTTTTCTTTATTTTAGTTGTTATTTGTAAACGCATATTGATCATATTTACTATTAAATATATTTAATGAATAAACAATCGTATCATCATCTGATTTGTGATGACAAATCAAAAGGAAATTTCACATTCGTTTATAAACACCGTATATACTTAATAACTGCCTAATAAAGTCATATCCCTTGTTAACTACTGATATCCGTAGATGGCTTATTAATAAATTAGCCTTATTAACATATATATGTGTTGTTGCGAAATCTTCGTACGCTTTCTCTCGTAGCATTCTCGGAGTGCGCGCTTTCCGGCCGGACCTTATCTCACTCATTTTGACCCACTTTTTTTTAGTAACATTGGAAGATTTCGATAACTGCTGTCAAGAATAATATTCAAGTTTAACTAAATAAAGTATAATAGTATTTAATCATAAATTATTTTGGTTGTATCCTGAATATTGCTATTATTTAAGACTTTAGCATAACTACGTCGTACAGACAAATCGCAGTTACATATTAGTCAGTTTGCTCCATGTTCGTAATGGTAGTCGGTACAATTATGTTTTTATTGTCATAAAAACCTTATTTAATATATTCCTGAGGGTCAGTTATTTTTAAAACCTAGGTATAGTTGAACCTGGATAAGCTAAAATCCAAGGAACCGCAATATTTTTCTCGTCGTCCGGCGGGATCGGACAATGACTCTCGCTTATAGAGGTTTCTGGCTTCTCCATAGTTGACCGAACTTGACTAATTTTGTAGTATATTACTTGTATTTTACTCGGAGCATGATAATCAATGTAACATTCTCCTTGTTCAGAGGCGGCAGACGCTGAAGTGCGCGAGTCAGGGCGAGCATTAGATGCTATGCCCTCGCAGCTCGGCTCCGAGGTGGAGCAGTCGCTGGCCGTCTTCGCCGAACTACTGCAGCATGGAGTCGCCAGGTAACAGCAACCTGATATTGGCAAACTGGAAGATTTGTAACATAACTAATTTGTAAGAACTGGATACGTCAAGTTTAAATTTTTAACACAACTGATTTTATTCATGCATTAAATTTTAGTTTTAATCCTCCCCCCCCCCTTCATTTGATGACGTCAGTTAAGTACATGTTACCTCAAGTCTTAGTTGGAATAGTTACAAGAAATAGTATTATAGTACTAATAATACAATAAACCTGCTAATATTTTTCTCCAACAATCTATAAAGTAGATATTTGTTACATTAATTGAAACCTTACAAAGTTCAAAATGCTCTATATAGATTGGCTACAGATACATACATTTTTTAATCGCCTTCCTGTTGTATTTAACAGTTCGTCGCACTGCCTGCATTCACAATTAAATACAAAACATACCGGTTTCAATGTTGCTAAACAAAAACCAGTTTATAGTATATAACTTATACATAAACAAGTATATAGACACGTAGCGTAGCTTCCTATACCAATTACTTCCCAAAACAAAACATTAGCAAAGTACTTAAATAAGATAAATAAAAACGACAAAATCCGATTTATTTTAAACAATTTATTATGATTCTTAAAGTGTCACCTTATTGTATTGCGAAAGTTCTAGTTCCCTTTTTTTAAACAAAATTAACTATAAAAATCTCGTTCGTATCGTAAAGAAATGTTTTATAAATGTAAATTTTATATTCATTAGTGAACATAAAACTTCTAGAATGTATGAATTCATTTTGTTTTGCAAATCACTTGTACATCACTTTTTGCCACTTCAGATGATAATTCAACCAATATTATACCAAGTTAGCTATGAATTATATAACTTTCTAAATAAGTTAAATTAGAAAATTTTGACAATGTGTTATATGTAAGTGTGTTTAATGCTTAAGAACAAAAAAACAGTAACAAAACAACTTAAGTACATACATAGCGAAAGTATTGTGTAATGTAAAAAAAAACATATTCTATAAATATGATGAACTTACTTTACTTACGACGAGAATTCAGATATTATAATAATCAAGACTTTTTTTGTTTTTTCAACGTTGAGTTTTACTTAATAACATATTAATTATCTCACATAATTACATGAACTAAAAACTATGTAACGAGAACCTTACCCAACCTTCATAAACTGTAGTCCGTTTAAATTATTACAGCTACAACATAATTTCAAATTAATCAATCCACACTCAAAATCGAATAATCTTTAAGGCAATCGATAACATATATGAAATCTACACTTAGGGCTGTTTAATTAATATTAAGCTCTTCTATATGCGATCTTTATTATTATTTGAAATCAATAATAAACTATCAAGATTGACTCCAGACTACCAGAAACATTTGAAAGGTTACAAATGTTACTTATGGCCGAGATTCGAAGGCAATTCTCACGCACCATACAGTTACTACGCGTACTTACACTCACGACTTTATAATCGTAGCGTCTAAAAGCGAAACCTATCAGTCAAGTGTGGATAAGCGAGGCTTTGTTTATTGTGTTCTATCGAAAACGAAATTGTGGGAATATTTTCTTTCGCTTGATCGAAGGTAGTTAATGTATGCGCTATAACAACATTGCCTGTCACGCTGACTGCCAAAGTCTCTGGAATTCGGAAACCTAGGTATGTAGGTCGTCTATGTCAGATGTAGACAATCAGGTTATTGTCCACTGACATCCTAAGACTCTGCAGTGTCACGGATAAGATGGGTATAGTCATCACAAGAACACTAATTCTCAATAATTTTAAATCAGTTTTTTTGTGATAGAAGTCGGTAGAACTGCAGCTCTTCTGATAGATCTTTAAGTTAATCGCATTTGCTACTTGCATATGTCAAAGGAACCTGTATTTTAGCATCTTTAGTAGCCCATCGTACTGATTATTCTAGAGAAATGCGAAGCTCGGAACCGGTCGCCGAACCCACGACCCGACTCCGGACACCCGGTCGCCCGGCTGCTATACACTTTCACTGTTGACACACATTCAACACCATAATGATATGACGACTGCTTTGCGTGACAGCTAAAACAATTAAAAAAGGGTCCCAATTATTATAATTGCTATGAACATTATGGCCGGTTTCTGAAGTTTACATTTATTTTTACATTATCTAATGAAGCAATTAATTTTTCATGCCGATTAGTACTTACGCTTTTCGCCAATGGTTGAAGCTGTAATAAAAATGCATTTGAAATTGATTATATCGCTCTAATTTGTCAAAACATATATAAAGTTATTACGTTTTATTGTAGAAACGTGTTTTTAATTAATATGTGCTTCCTAAATAAGATGCATAGATCGGAAATGCATTTATTTGATGAAGTTATAAAACTAATATCACTATCGATATGGGCGATCATGTCGATGGTCAATGTCAAATTGAATTTCGGAAACCGGGCATTAGCGATGTTTCTAAAGATTATTCCATAAGGCGTTTCTTATAAAAGTACTAATTACCGTACCCGTTTTTATAATAATACATACAGCTTTGCCCCGCGACACCGCCCGCGTGATATTAAAAAAACTTAACCTAGTCTAGGCGTTCTTTCAGATTATGTTCCACACCTGTGCCAAATTTCAGAGCGATGCATGCCGCCGTTCTGGAGATACCTTCTAACAAACATCCCTCCATCCATTCAAACATTCGTAGTAGACTATAAATCGATTTAAAACTCACAAAACTACGCTTTGAACGTCACCGATTCGTGTTTTATTTTGAACCAGTTAAATTATATGTAACTTCCTTGCCAAAATATTATGTATAAAGTTTCCGTTACACGTAACAGCAAGGTGAACAACTACACTAACAAAACACAATTTATTGATAACATCATCGTATTATTTATATTCATAAACAAAATTATCTTACCACCACCAGTGGGCAAGATAATCTAATATAATGAAAATGTGGGCATAAGTGAAATTAAATTACGTCATGTCACTAACGTCTCACACTGGGCAATATTTTTGAGCATCTTTCAGCTCGAATCTGCTTGATAGTACTTAAATCATGTCTTTTAAAATGTGCAATTTTAACGCTAATTTGCGCCGTCGATATGACGCGTTTGGGGGGGGGGGCCCGTCAATTTAAAAAAAAAGTGTAATAAGGTCCCAAGGTCTTCCGGGAAAAATGAAAGGAACTCCAATGAATATAATATCGCTAGACTAACATTAAATATAAGCGTACTCGCATGTTTTTATTGAATCGAAAATAAGACAAACAAAAAAGTGGTTCACCTCAAGTTTGGTCACTGCAACTCAATATGAGATAATGTGTGTTTGTTATTTCTCTATTACGTAAAAAAAAACTTTGTTATTCAGCCACAAATAGCAGGTTTTTTAGGAAAAGATTCATAACACAATCGACTAACATATAAGAAATAAATATAGTCTTAAATAAAGTCAGATATTTACAGATAGACCTAACATACCTTTATATGCAGTAGAAATATAAAACTAGAAGTTAATTTAAACAAAGACCTACATTACTTCAAAACAATACAGCCGTGATATTATCAATCCTTACAGAAGCTTTTTTTTTTAATTTTTCAACCCCATTCTCTTTAACAATTAAATACAATTAAGATTTTTCTAGCACAATGACATATCACATAGTTTTACCTGAGTACTACACACGCAGGAAACTTTCTCGTGAACAAACAACACATTTAGCACTTTTCCAAATAAACACTTTCATTTTTGAGTTCATTCTCTCTACAGTTTAAACAACTACATATGTAATTTATAATCGCAAACTAAATATTTCGAAATACATCGTCCTTCATAAAAACTAAAAGAATTTATATTTTCATGAATATTATATGATGTAACCATTTAAATAAATTATAATTATTTAATATTTATTTCATCGACAGAGCGCTGGGCAGACGGACACAAGATCACATTGAAGATTCTAAACCAGCGTCTGTTGTTAACAATGATAAGAAAATAAAAATGAGAAAACCAAAACCACCGAAGATTCACCTTCTCAATCCGATACAGACAAAGAAAGAAGAAGGCAGAGGATTCGCTCAGGGAAAATTACAATCATGGGTTGTAGGTGCCAAAGATGACGAGAATTTTAAAACTGATTCATTACATTCAGAAGATGCTAGAAGTTCATTGAACAATCCAGAGTTTGAAATAGAAGATATCGATCAGGAAGACGCTGAAGTAGAACAGGCAAGAAAAGAATGGAATGATTCAAAAATCGGGTTGAACAGAAGAGGTAGAGGTCTGGTGTCAGAAATGTGGGGAATTGGGGAGCAAGCGCTGGACGCGTTGGCAGAGCATGTAGTGCAAAACGAAAATGTTGACAATGGAATCCAGGATAAAAGTTCCTTTGAAGGTATATTTTAAACTTAAATAAGACCATACTAGGTTACGTCCGCGCGGTAGAAAAAACACTTTATTAGTAGCCTATGTGTTCTTTCAGACTATGTTCTACATCTATGCCAAATTTCAACGAGATCCATGCAGCTGTTCTGAAGATACCTCTAACAAACTGCCATCCTTCCACACATCCAAACATTCACATTTCTAATATTAGTAACATTAATTTATTTAATTCTATCCCAATTTACTTGTCGACATTTCTCGTGACACATTAAATAACTTGAAATAAAAATGATAAAATCGGAATTTAAATTGAGGAAATCTGAGCAACGGGTTGTTTTAAACATTTTATTACTGCAAATTAAATGTTACGTACGCAAATGTCTCGGAATATGAATTAACTATTTCTGTTAAATACATTTATATTCCTTACACTTTGGATTCAATTCTACAAATAATATGATAAAACGCTGTACTTGTATAACAACATATTTTGTTTGCAATTTTCAAGTGGAAACACTCAGTAAAGCGTGTTGCGTGTTGGTTGCGTGTTGCTGATGCTCCAGTGATTACATCTCGCTACATTGAGGACAATCATTGATCCCATTCACATCAATATCCTGTTGTAATTGTGATTGACATTGATTTTATTATGATAAATACATACATACAAGTGAAATGCCATCGAGCTCCGAGTTAATTCATTTTTAACTTCATAGAGAAGGAGATTTTTAATTGGTCTGTATTTTTATGTACGATTTTTTATTTATTAAAAGGTGAATGTTGCTTCGATAACTAGTCTGTGATTTGTTTAATACCAATTTTTCCTATAATTTCAGAGCAAAGAGGCAAAAAGAAGAAGAAGAAGAAGGCAATTCTAAAGCTGCTTATTCTGGGCGCGGTGCTCAAGGCTAAGATAGGGACTCTGCTACAGATATTGTCCTTCAAACTACAGGTATAGTAAAAATTGAAAATGTTTTATTTTTATTTGAATATTTAGAAAGTTTCACACTTTTACGTGTTCCGTGTTCAACAGGAGACAAAAATATATCGGTTGAAATTGTACCACACTATTTACTTATAAATTTTATTGTATGATTTATCTGTAAGGAAATAAATGGCTTTATTATTATTACTATTTACTTATTTAGAGAAACCGTTAAGTATGTCCCTTTACACTAAAACTCGAATCAAATAAAACTAAATTTGCGCAAAATCACGATGAATGTAATATAATGTATTGCAGGTGAAATTCTTCATAATCGCGCTGATCGGTCTCGCCATTAACTTGGCGAGGTTTTGGGTCGAGCTCAAGAACAAACATCATCAGCCTCAGAAGGTCAGTTACATTCTTTTCATTTACCTTTTAAATTACGTAAATTGTAGTCTTAGTAAACTACGAGTAGTTACATTTCTAAGAAACTCATTATTATATTTATAACTCTGATGTGAAATTAAGTCAATAATAACTGGTACAACTTATTTTAAATTTCCTAAAAGAATTAACTTGCTTCAGTATTTCTAGATATAGCAGCAACTAGTCTAGTAGTTTCTACAAATGCAGTTAATACCTATTTACATTACACTCAAGTACTGGTTTATTTGTAACATAATTATCGATGCAAAAGCGATATCGAATCCCGTCGAAAACTGTGGCTTTCACCCCACGCGACGCATATCAATCGTCTTCCGTTCTTCTATTCATTTAAATTCTATCACATCACATTTAAATAAGAAACGCTAAATTTAAATTATTAACCGCGGGTTTCTGAAACTAAAGTCCTCTTTAAAAACAAATTGTCATCTCTGTTTTGTCAAAGATGACGATATGTTTTACATAGAGATTACAGCGTCTGAAACTTATGTTAAAACTTTCTTATTATAACATATTTCTAAAGCTTTAATAGAGTATGTAAATATAAACAAATACATATTATATGTAATAGATATAAAGGAAATAAGAAAATCCAGTATGTTTCAAGTTTTGTATCCAATTACCATAATTATTTCATCACATACGGAAAAACAGCAAAAAAACTTGACTCTATTTAAATACATTTACTCAACTAACTTAGACCTTGAGCTTCCACTGTCTCAACACCACTAACATATTATTTATATGTCTCTATACTAGTTGACGCCCGCGACTTCATCCGCGCGGTATTAAAAAAACATTTGTAGCCTATATGTTCTTTCAAACTATGTTCTATATGTATTTCAAATTTCATCCGTTCAGGCGTTCTTGAGAGTTCAGATGGAGGTATCCATACAAACATCCCTCCATCCATTCATCAAAACATTAGCATTAATAATATTAGTAAGATAAGATATAAACACACAATATGTTCTCAATCCGTAGGTACATTTATATAGTGAGTGTGAGGATTACACTTTCTCTGTTTATATAAACCATACAATTACCATAACAAATATATTACAAGCCTCTAAATATTAATAATGTAAGAGCAAGTCTTTTGAATAATTTCATTTTGCTCTACAAAGAAAAAGAAAGCACATACTAATATGCCAATTAACTATAATTATGCTTTATAATACTAAGCTATGAATAAGCGTCAAACATTCTGTTAGCGACTTAATATTAAAAGAAAACTTTCACTTACGTATTAATGTATTATGTAAGAGAAGATGATGAAGGTACAACACGCTTATGTAGGTTTGAAATTGTGTTACTATAGCACCAATTGTCGTCAAACAGCGTTCCTTCTTCAATTTAAATAATTGTCATATAAATATACATATCGTATTTCAAAAGAACAACATAAAACATATTATGGTCTTCCTTCTAAGTTTGTTTATCTCCTTATCCGTGTTTCTTTGTATATTTTATAGAAAACTCATATGTCCTAACGCCATCTATTGTCGTCAAAAAGTATTAAAAGTTACTCATACTTTAGCCAGTTTTTTGTGGACATAATAAAAACAAGTCCGATTTCCGCAAATTACAAGTATCGAATTAACACTAATTAAATAAATAATATTCTAGATTATCGAAGTATGACTTAAATTATATTTTTTTCGATACTAGTTTTATTTGTTACGCTTCTAAGCGTTCAGACAAAACAGGATATGTTTAAAAAGTATCCTACATTCTTTAACACTCCGTGAGTTTCTACAAATGAAACATAAATACAAAAAAGATCAAATCTTTAAGACTCTTATTTACAAAATAACTTCTTGTTTGTTGCTAGAGACTGAATATTTCAATTAAATTATTCGTTATCAGTTAACATGTTTTAACCAATCTTCAAACCAAATACATATACGTTGCCGATATGGCGTTTGCAACCGAGTTCATAAAACTTAATAAAATGATTGTCAAGATAGTTAAAAAACAATATCTCCATATATTTTACATTAATGAAAATTTCTTATTTTAACTTGAGTGACAAGAGAATAATATTTTTATTATTTCTTTTTTTAAACTTTCATCATCTCGCACTAAAACTGTCGAAATTGCCATATCACTTTCATTATCCACACGTAAAGTTCATTCACGTTTCACTTAGCTAAGCTAAGCACTATTCTAAGCACTAAAAGTAGGGTAATGTGTTTGCCATTGACATACATCCCACAGACTAAGTCGTTAGAAATGCCTTTATTTTGTGCTACAGTATGTGCCAAAAAATATGTCGACGGCAAAAAATTCAACCAAAAATTTTGACAGAGGATATTCTAAAGAACATTGACTAACTGCCTAGATCAGGGACTGGTTACTTAAACAGTCCTATAAACTAAATTGACACTCATACACCCGCTAATTGGCTATTTGTTCCTTTGAATATAAACTCAAGTATACATAGAACTAGCTTTTGACGGCGAATTCCACCTCGCAAGATTAAATAATATCTTAATTAGTAACCAATGTGTTGCTCCAGACTATCCTCTAAATCTATTTCAAATTTCAGCGAGATTCACGCAGCCGTTCTGAATATATGTAATAATAAAAATCCATACATCCAAACATTCGTATTTATAATATTAATATGATTTGTGTTTATTTGGTTTTATCATAAAAATAAAACTAAACCGATCCTTATTGGAAAAATATTTTCCAATTTCTCATTTCCATTTCTAGACAATCAAATGAAGAAATAATTATTTATAATCATATTGAATGTATTATAATATAGCATTCATGACAAGATGTCGTTCAGTATCGAGTGGTATCCATTTAGTGTGATATTGTTTCCGCGTCGCAAACGAGGGAAAGCCGCGGAGAGAGGCCGCGCTTTCACATATTCAGATGTCCGATATGACCTGCTCAGTGACGATTATCTACTGATTGATTATATTACACGTGTTATTGATAGTCATTAAAGATAAAATGTATCATACGTACATGCTGTCTTCTTCTATAAATGTATGCACTAGTATTTATATAAATCATTGTAATAAAACTGTAAACAGATAAGAATATTTCTAGTTGTATGTTTAGTTTCTATGTTCGTTCAAATCTCTTCAAGAGAGAGCGACTTCGGAGTGATTATGCAAAGCTAATACGCTACTATTTACTTATGGTTGGAATTACTTTCTGTATATAAACAGGTCAGTCCCTTTATACAAAACTGTAAATCAAGTTTGTGCAGCTGAACCACTCAAAAACAACTTTCTCGCTCCGTGATCACGATTCATACTTAATTATAATAATAGTTTTGTTCAACGAAAATAACATAAAAAAAGACTGTAGTTAATTATAAAACGTAAATAGTCACGACTCTATTTGTACAAACCGAAGCGCACATTTTATATGTATAAAATAATCACAAAAATGTACGGATGTTATGGATTAATGCTTCCTAAAGTATTTTAACTATATGAGTAAACAATTAATTGTATGTTTGTAGGTGATCTACTACGAGCATGCACAACATCAGCATCACTACGAGCACGAGGATGAACCCGGCTGGGGACCCTGGGCGCGCAACATCGACCCAGAGGTCAGCAACCCCCACCCCCCACACACACAACAAAACACAACTTTAACATTCTTTTTATCTTCTCTGTAAACCACCTTAATGATACTCAAAGCTAGCATTGTGTAATGTGGAAGTGGATTTAAATACCGTCTGTTGAATGACTCTTAAAATTTTGCCCCTACTTAGTAACGCATTTTGTATTGGTTACTTAATTACTTGCAAAATCTATAGATAGGTGATGTCCATTGAATATCTGACAAACTATTTAGTCTTTCAATTAATATTATATCGCGATGTTTCAGGACGCAGATGTAGACGGGGAGGTGGACCGCAACATGCGGCCGTACCGCGCGCAGGAGCGCATCGCAACTCCCCGCCCACTGCTCACGCTCTCATAACGCCGCAGACGTTCTTCCAGCGGTGCTGACTTACTGGACTCCTTGCTCACGTTCTCGAGACATCGCAGCGCTGCTCCAGTCAACCAATACTCGTACTCCAGTGCTACGAGTAGCTTATACCAAGTGAAATTATAAATTAAGTCTTATTTTGAATGTATTTTTGCACATTACAGTGTGTTATGTTCACCTGACTTGTTCATTACAGTTTTGTGTACTATACTATACTACTCTATGTGTACTCTGTGTCATGTTTCAATTGTTCCAGCAAGTTATAATTCTTTACTAAGTTGTAGTTAATTTTAGTAGTTTGTAAAAAATAATTTATTTTACTTAGCAATAGCGGTTTGATTGTATTTATTTGTATGAATGTTGTGTGACTTATGAATAATAATAAATACATTATTATTGATCAATTTTCTAATTTCTTTGAACCCCATTCATCTTAGAGATTGTAAACACCTTATGTACAACTGCCACACTCGAGTTATCTCAAAATGCCAGCTACTTCTCCCCCTACTACTTACTACACATATGGTAAAGGCGAGTCATATTAAGTCAGCTAAAGTTTTTGATATTATCATGTCGTTTTTGGATATCCGTACCATACCATATCCCCACCTTTGAAATATTAGCGAAATAAAAAAACGATATTCTATAAAACCAAAAATATATTCATCTCATATTAGTACATACATTTATAACACAAAAATCAATACACCGACAGGCACTA